TGGTACATCGATGCTATTAATTTTTTTGTTTTTAAGCATAAATACTTTTTTTAAAGTGAAAAAATGGGTTTGCAACTCTACGGCAACTTTATTTTTGTGTATTTTTAAACAAGGCTCCTCATTAGCTTTTCATTTGCATACAGAAATACCCCTGATGACATATGAAAGGGAACTTGCTGGGAAGCTTGCATTGCTGATATTTGTATATAAGGCACATTTTTTATACAAATTTCACGTCTTTGACTAAATTGCCACTCGTGAGTTTGTTCATCAAGAAAGAATGAACTATGATTAACACATAATATCAAGTTTGTCGCATAGGGTTGAGTTAGATGCGAAATATGTCCTTTCTGGTGTAGCTTGTTACTTGATTGTCACCACCACCGGTGCACGTTTGTACTCTGTCCCTGGACCCAGGCACTGGACGACAATTGAGTTTGTAAGAAGTTAAACTGGACTGCACAATTACTTGTATGGTAGTCAGCCGAAGTGTCGACTTATATTTCCACGGAACTCTCTACATCTAAGTCGATCATTACAGAGTTTGTCAAAATTAAATTTGATGCATGAATTGTCTCATTATTTAGCAGGTTACTACGCATGTCACTACACTGTTTTATTCCATCCATCGTCGGAGTTAACAAAAAAAATCAAAATAAAAAAAACATATTCTGACATGCTAAACACTTAACTATAGTGATCAATAAAATAGAGAAATAATTTTAAAAAAACATATGAAAATGAATTCTGTTGAAATGGATGAACACGTCGGTTTACGACGAGGACAAGTGCGTGAATGGTGGCGTATGATTGGATAACAAAACCTCTGTGTTTCCGTGCGTGCGTCCGGACCTGTATCTTAGAAATGCCTTGACCAATCACATCAAACTTCACACATACATCATACATGATATTATACATAAGCACATCAATTTGTTACACGATCTGATCCAAGATGGCCGAATGACGGCCATTTTTGTTCTAAAAATCATCAAAATCAAGCATTTCTCGACTCTTTACAGATGGATTTTGTTCACACTTGGTATATACGTTGGAAATTATAGGACCCTGATGCACATCATTTTGTTTTTCAGATAAGATTCAAAATGGCCGACTGGCAGCCATTTTGTTTTAATCCATGTGGTTCTAGTGCCATATCTCTGACTTGCTGTGACTGATTATGTTAAAATTTTAAATATTCATTATACATCATGTCATAGATATACAGATATATTGGTTTGACGATCCTATTAAAAATGGCTGAATGGTGGCCATTTTTGTGCTGAAAAAAATCATCAAATATCAAGCTTTTATGGATGGATTTTGTTCAAACTTGGTACATACATTAGACATTACGGGTTCCTAATGCATGTTATTTTATTTTTTTAGATCAGATTCAGATGGCTGACTAGTTGCCATTTTGTTTTAATGAAGGGGCTTCCAGAGCCATATCTCTGACATGCTTTGACTGACTATGTTCAAATTTTATATATTCATTATACATGTACCCAAAATGGCTGATTTTGTTTTAATTAATGCTGTTCCAGAGCAACATTTCTCAATACTCGTTTGACGATCAGATACAAATGTCAATAATTTAAATGTTAAACAATCATCATAATCATATTCCTGACATGTTTATATTCCAGCTATATTACTATAAACAAAACTATATATCTTAAATTTGATAACTAATGTGGACTGTGCCATGCATGGCTTGTTCTTTCATAAATGAGGACAGTTGTTTGGCAAAAGAATCAGAGGTAAATTGGACACTGCATATGACGGTGTAAAGAGAATGTCAACCCAAATGTTTTCTTGTTGCTTTCATGACTTTCATCCACTGATGTTGCACCTTTGGATAGATTGGAAAACACTGCGGCTATACTTATTACCGGTACTGCATCCACGACACAATGTTTAACCATCATAAATGTTTGTTGTAAAAACAACTTCTAAAAACTCTCTCAAGAAAAATTAAAAAAATGCTAACTGAAAAATGTATATCGTTAAAAGTATGTTGAATGACGCAGTGTTATAAAAGTACGACTCAAGAGTATAGCTTCCTCACATATTTTAGCTTTTTGTGGCACACTTTAATTTCGGCGAGAGTCAGAAATCTAGAAACAGTAAATCGTTTCAGGATAGGTGGGCGTAGCTACAGCACAAAAAAATATCTCAAATTTACTTGGATACGAGTACCGGTAATAATTACAGTGGAACGTAAATCTAAAATGGGAAATGTGTGGGTGGGCATTTCGCATGCACTTTAAAGGGTACCTACCCACATCCTGATTCTTCTTGTACATCATAATGCTGTAGTACTTTTTATTTATTTTTTTAAATATTTTTGAGCCAGTTTTAAACATTTTCAGACATTTCCAGACGAGATAAGAAATAGGATGCTGGCATGTAGTGTGTAGAAACCATACTCCATGTTTTGTAATTTAATTTGCTATCCTGGCGTCGACCAGCCAGGGTCAAACACAAGCACTTCCTCCTCCAAAGTCACATTTGTTACAGAGTGAATCCTGGCTAGTGGCTTTTGCCATCCTATTGGCGGCGGTATATTTCTTTTCAGCCTATTGAGTCTGTAGGGTAGGGGTTGACCTATTTAATTAATGTTCAACCTAGATGAACCTAGATGCGCAACCACTATGCTGCCAATGAGCTTGTTTCCGTACATGTAGAAACATTAACTTTCCTCTATAGTTTTAACATACTGTAAAATACTATATTTTCGCTGGAATTAATTTTCGCTGTATGGATAAAATGTTGGAAAAATGAAAAACTGCACAAGCAGGCGATTTCTCAAACATTTCTCTGGTGGTCATTTTGAACTAAAAAATGGTCAAAACTGTCTATTGTGTCCACTCTGACGAGACTTTGAGATTTTGACCTTTATATTATAAACAGGAAGCCCTTCCTGTTCAGAGTCACTAATTAATATTAATTACCGGTAGATGTGAATCAGTGTTATCTACATCATGCTCACGCTAACCATGGAGGTAAAAAGAGAAGGAGTCACAGCCAAGCTTAGATCAGAGGTACCAGGATGGTCGCCGCTGTTTGTACATAGATCAGGGAGTATATTTGCCGAACGGATCAAGGAGGACAGTTTCCTCTTAGCGCAGTGAGGATTACTACGTATTAGCATACTACGGACGCCTTCGGCAGCACTCGGCGATTTTCGTGACAATTCTAGTCAAATTCTTATAAACAAATATGGCGACGATCGATAACGCGCACGAGTTTGACTACGATGCTGAAACTGTTATGTCCTTAAATTCAGAAGACGTAAACGAAATCGAAGAGCATATTATAGACGAAGAATTGTTTTGCATATGCTGTGAACGAAATGATTGCTCGAAAACAAAAAATGCAGCGATTTTCTTGTTGACGCACTGCCGTAGGAAGTAGGACATACACGGGATATAAACTTCAAAAGGTGTCATTTCGAACCTCAAAATTCAGTCTCTGGTACAACGCGGTGCGGTCCATGTCATGCACCATTGCAAGGAACATTAAACGATCTTTATTTTGGACTAAAAAATAGTACTAGCAAGGTTTCGAAACATTACAATATTACCGATTCAAAAATACAACGGAAAATGTGCTGAAAAACGAAAAATTACATAAACTTAACAAGAAATTCTCCGATTTTCAAAATTCTAACTTTCCCGTTCTCACAAACACGATTCCTCTACGTATAAAAGATCTGCACATGCTTTGTGTCATTTGGCTTTTACTGCGACACCGTAAAACAAGACCTTGGAGTGCGTACTGTACGCAGCAACGCTTGAGAGAAATGACGCGTCGGCGACGATCCTGGGGTGAAAGGACGATAAGACAAAGGGAATTATAGGATTAAACTTAGTTAAAACAAAAGAAGTTTAGGAGGATTATTTTGGCTGTGACTCCTTCTCTTTTTACCTCCATGCACTAACTGTAATACCGGGGTACATTGTCCAAGCTGTATATTTCTGTGAAATATATTTCCAAAATTTCCTCCTGAAAGTGGGCATGATGCATACACTTTTAAGAACAGCTACATGTAACATATGGTTGTAGTGTGAAACCAAACATACAATAGCTTAGAGCAAACAAGTTTTGAGCCCAACAATGTTGTTTTGCTTGAAAGGTTATGGAACTGGTCTTGTGCCAAATATCTTGTTTACCAGTATAACTGGGTCGATTGTATGACAATAACGTGACCTTTGGTCAAATACTCATGTTAATTTAATTCCCTTGCTGTCTTTTCATCGTAAAAGGGCAGGAGACACTGTGACCTAAATGTTGACATTTAACAAGATGGTTGTCATTGTGCCAATTTATAAATGAGTTTCTATTTATAGTTACTGGTACCTCATTTGTAGCACATCTTTATTAGTCATTCAAACCATCAGTATGTTTTCTAACGGGACTGTTTTTGTAGGGATTCTGAGCCAAAATCAATTTCACAAAATCAAGTTGAGTCAGCTTTATTGTCTTCAAAAAAAAAAATTAAATTGTATTTGACTGTATAGATAATTTTAAGCACTAAACAAAATTTCTTGTTCCTGATTTTATTAGGGCCCTTTTGAAAAAAGTTCAAAACAGGGACTTATAATTCAATCTTTATTTATCTGTCTGTCCATCCATCCATCCATCTGTCTGTCTGTCTGTCTGTTCGTTCATCGTATCTCTGACATACTTTGTTTGTTCTTCTTCAAATTTGGTATATACATTACACACGTTGGGATACATGTCCACGATGATTTATGTCACTGTTGGATCAAAATGGCCGTCTGGCAGCCATTTTTTTTCTCAAATACATGTACCTGTTTTTTTGTCCAAAAATATGCACATTTGTTGATTGTGTGTTCATCTTGAAATTTGCACGACTTCAAATGAGATCTTTGTCGCATATGTCGCAACCAGTGGCATACCCATCTAAATCTTTGTTTTAGTATCTTCAGATTATAATAATAGCATTAATGTTTTGTTCTTTTATCTTGTAGGGAGTCGGTGCGTGCAAGTCTGCTGTGTACCAGCCAGAGAACAACTAGTCCACTTGACCACAACTATAAACATTGGCTAAAATAATTCCATATCGAAAACCTGGGATTTTGGTTGTTGATTAGCGATACCTGTGGATGGCTGTAGACTAATTTGTAATTAAATCAGTTTTATACCCAATCTGGGTATAAATGAAATGATCTGAAATGGTTATTTAGCTTTACACGAGTTTTATTTACACAGAACCAATACTTCCTTTAATACACACTAGTCTCGTCACTTTATACTCTATGCTAATCAGGATGGGTTAAAGGACGGTGGCCGTCAAGCAGTGTTTTGAATTTCGTGTAAACAATCAATGTATCCCACACACAATGTATACATCACTGAGTCCCATATCAAACATGATGCGACGCAACGTCCACCACCCTTTAATACCAACATGTGTGTTTTTTGGTGATGTTTTTGTTTTTCAAACCCTTGAGAAATACCAAGCATATAAAGTCCTCAATAGTTTCAAATCTAAAATCAGCTATTAACTGAAAATTAAATTATTTTCTCGGTTACAATTAAAAAAATCACAGAATTTTGTAGCATTTGTGTTAGGAAGACTTTAATTTAAGGCCCTCCCCCCCCCCACCCCTAACCTAAACTCTAACCCTAAAACCCTAAATGTAATTGTATAGGTCCCTCTTGGTAGCTGATCAAGTGACGGCAATTTTTCTCTGACGAATTTAAAGTGTTTACATGGCTACTAATGAAGGTGCCTTTAACATTGTTTTATTAGGGACGACGTCAAAAGATCGATGTCGGATAAAAAACTTATTTCCTTTAGTTTGGGGGTGGGGGGGGGTGGGGGTTTGACCTCAAAAAGTTTCCATCCGACAAAAACGATTTTATTTTTTTAATGAAGTCAAAACAATCTTGGAGTATTTGT